GCGAGGCGAGGCGGCCAGCCGGTCACCGGTTTCGCTGCATTGCCGTGTGCTCGAATTGCGACAGCCGCCGATTGTAACGCTCTCGCGAGAGAGTAACGGCCGTGACAATGGTAAATCAACGCTTATGACTTCCTCCGCGCGTTAGATGCCGTCAAGCCAGGTGTGAGCGCTGCTGCCGATCGATGAATCCATCGTGCGAGAAAAATAAAAAAAAATAAAAAAAAAAAAGAAGAAAAAATAGGACCAGACAAAAGCGGATTGAACACTTTGAAGATCTTCGTTTTTACGAGAAAGTTTTATTTATTTATTTTTTATATTTTTGATCGGATTTTCCGGAATTATTTACAAAATATTATCACGAAAAGTTGATTCGTTTGATGATGTGAAATGTGAGAGAAGTAAAAAAAAAAACAGATAGCCAATATTTAGGTTTCATGCTAAGATGTTAAACTAATAAAACTTTAAACTTTTTTATTATTAGACACTCACTCTCTTTTTCTTTAGATTTTGTATATTTGATTTTGTGACATATTAACATGAGTATTCTTCCTCCTGGAAGCGCATTACATTGTTATTGCGGTGCAAGACAATCCTAACGAGTAATCGAAGACAGAAGAGTCGTCTAGTTAAGTAGTTAAGTGCGAGCATTTTTCTCGCGACGTCTGATCCTATTCTGTTATAACTACTTGCTTCTGTCATTACTGGAATGTATTGGATGCAGCCGCGCTGCATTCGATTACTTCTGCTTGAGCTTTTGTGAAAGGGTATATACTCACCTCCGAAACGTACTTATAAAGTTCTTATCTCACTAATTATCTTGTCAATCTTCCTAATTATCTCGTTTAAGAACTGTCTTTTAATCATTTATAAACGGATTATTTTTACGAAGAGAAAACGTCGTTTCCAGTTACTCACGATCGGGAAATCATAATATATCATTTATGTATCATTATCTTTCAATCGTAAACGTCGCGTAAATTTTCCAATGGACTTTATCGGGACCGCGACCGGATTTCGATTGGGTTGTCAAAGATAGATTTATGTTATCTAGCAGAGATCGAAGAGAATCTGACGGCGATCAAAGAGATCACGCCGCGTACGTGTCCGAGAAATGAGTTGTCAGAGATACCGAGATACGTTGAGGGAGAGAGGGGAGAAAAGAGGAAGATGGGCAAGGGAACGCATCGGGTAGGGAAGGGTTGGCGAGCGACAAATCCCGGCGTCCCTTGACTTGCCAAGGCCAGAGCTCCATAAACAGCCGTCGTGTGTACATGCATTTACACGTGTTTATTATGTACGCGTGTGCCGTAACCAAGATATAACGACGTCGCGCGCGCACACGCTTTCTTGCGGCTGTAACGCGCGCACCCGTTATAACGTAGAGCGCGTTCACGCAGCCACTGAGCACAAGGGGTAGTTTAAAGTGTGGATATCGGAGAAAATATATCCTCTCTTCTTTTATATATATATATATACACATTTATATATATATATATATATATATACACACACACATATATATATATATATATATATATATATATACACATATATATTATATATATATATAAATTCTTATATTACTTGAACACCACAGCCGATTGGCGCGTGCGCGCAATCGCCGTTCTATTTCTTTTTCACAATCGTGTTTCTACTTTCGCGCCGAACGAC